AACCGGCGGCAATTATTATTTTTCGTGTGCGTATTATTATTGTTATTAAAATATGTGTAATACGTTTATGAATGCAAATTCGTTGTAACTACCGTTCGAAAATGTTACAAAACCGAAATTATAATATTATTATTTCAACTCAACAAATTCTAAGCACTCGCCCATTATAATATTATTATTATTATTATTATTATTATTATTGTTATTGTTATTATTGTATTCCTAGGTCGATCGTTAAAATCTCTATTTGCACGAATACTGATGCACCGAGAGCATAATTTATTCAAATAAAACCAACGAACTGCATGTGTAAACTATTAAAAATTTCCAAAGAATTTATGGCGAACTATGTGGACAATAATTAATACAAAAGTATTGGACGTGTGTGTATACGTAGTGCTTGAAACGATTCGGATTTGCTGAAGTTCAAAAATTCGGATTCTTGGAATTTGAAATTTTGATTTTGAAATCCGAATTTCACTCTAAAATTGGAATTTTGGATTTTGAAAAATCGAATTAGTAGAATATTATAATTTTTCAGGTTTTAAGAAAATCCGGATTTTATTCCCTTTACTAACCTAACCTACTCGTGTATATATATATATATAAAATATAGGCATATAGATGTATCATAAACAAGTATATTAAATTATGACTACTGACACTGATGTAAACCATAGGTAACTATTACGATAGATAAATTATAGTTTTTTAATGGGTTAAATAATTATTTGATGTAGGCACTTACTCTAACGTAACTTAAAAATTTGTTTTCTCCTATGCTGACCATGATATTTCACGACTTTGAAAAAATGTTTACCAAATAGGTCACACATCGTTAAATGGATCTGATCTGTTAATTCAATACGATTTTGTTCATTGTCTTCGCATAATTTTTTTTTTTTTTTTTACGATTTAATTGAATTACAATTACTATTTAAATAGTAAACTATAACTCACCAACAAGTCATACCTTTACATAATGATTAATGAATGAACACTGAAAAATGACAACAGGTAGAAGGATGACGGCTATAATCGGGTGGAGGTGGTTAATTGGAAGAAGGCAAGCATGAAGAGCTATTATACTGTTATATTTCTGTAAATATTATTTTTTGCCATCATAAATACTTCACTATGGACGAAAGAATTCTAAGATTAACAATATTTGAAATATATACTCCTGTATATAATTGAACCAGTTGTTACGGTGAATCATTTCTATATGTGATAAGTGTAAAATGTATATAAACATAAATGGAGACACAATGCCATTTTGCCATAAGCCAATAATATCTTGTGTGTGGCCTAAGTAGTTACTTAGTATTGATGTCTGATAAGTTATAAGGGAATAAAAATAATGTTTATGGGTGTAGAACAAATTTAATTAATTTTTTTTTCCGTCTCATTACAACTTAACATAATTAAAACAGATTAGAATACGATAATTCTTAATTATTTAATTATTGCGAAGAAAAAAAATCACAAGAATTTCATCTATCTAGATAAATCCCATTAGATAACACTTTCATTCATCTAAGGCAGTGGTTCTCATCCTTTTCTCGTTCATGTCACATTTAGCCACTAGAATAAAACACCACGTCATCCTAACATCAAAATAATAAATAATCTTAACTGTGTATTTTGGAATAATTTTTGAAATAACAATAAAAAATACAAATACGTAAGTACACCTACAATTTATTCGAGTTGCAGGGTTCAATAAACATGGTCAGTTAAAAATTTAAATTTGCGAATTAAAAAAAAAAAAAAGAGAAAAAATAATAATTATTTGTATGAAAACTTATGAGAAATTGGCCCGTAGTGGTTTTTACAAAGTTTAGGAATTCGAGGGCTGATAGTGAAAATATCGAGTCTCATATTGTCTTCTAGAGTTGTAGAGCTATAACATTACATATCTAGCTACGGCATAATAGGTGACTAACGAACCCGGTTAAGATAATTGATAATGTAAAATTTAAACTATATATGCTATTTACACAGCAGTTGTGGCAATAATACGATTTCATTAAAATTAATTATTATTTTTATTTCTCCTTGGAGATGTCACCCCTATGACACGTCACCCGGTTGAGGACAACTGATCTAAGGTAATACGATAGATAATTTTTTCTTCGACCATCTAGATAACTACGATATCATCTAAGATAAAAGATAATTAATTATTCAATCAGATAAGTGTATCCAGATATCGCCCGACCACTGGTGGTAGAGGAGTACACGTGTACAATATGTCTGCGCGCTATCGGACGACGATGGTTCTCGGTCGGTGGCAGCGGCGGAGGCTGCCAGAGAGTCCGGACAAAAGATGTAGAGGCTGCCGTCTAATTGCGGACCATCTATCATCCGGTTGGCGGCGAACGTTCGGTAACGTTAGCCGAATGAATCGATCATACACAATAATAAATACACACACACACACACACACACGTGCACATGCGACGGTAGTGTATAGGGTACGCAACGTTCGATAATAATATTAATAAACCTCCATTCATTCCGGTAGCCAAAGTCCCGGAGAGCTACCGGCCGACGGACACATCCATTATTCATTCGTATATAACCGTATACGTGTTCCTCCCTTTGTGTGTATATATATATATATATATATATACGTGTGTGTGTGTATGAATGTTACGGTACACTTCTTCCCGCATATGTGTCCTAAGACACATGCCGTTGAAACGTCGGAGCAACACCCCAACACGGTCGGCGGCGCCTGTTAATGATCAATACGGTTATTACCAAACTTCGGACTCTATCCGACGACGGTACGCTGCGCTTGAAATGTGATCGGATATTTTCTCGTCCCCGTTTACGGTCGTGTTTATATTATTACCGTTTAGCCGTCGCGGCGAGTGAAAACTATCGGACAACGGTGATTTCCGGACCCCGAACGAAGCGAAAAGCACGTCTTCGACGGCACGCTAAGGGAAAGCGAAGCCATCCCCATGGATTATTCACGACTCTCGGTACGCAATTATTTCCGTCGAGGCGCGAGCGGTCAAGCGTACACGAAAACAATACGAAAAATGAATAATTAATATCCACCGGACAGCGGAGTTTAATAAAACTGTTGGCCTGCCGTCGGTTTATATGCGCGCCGGAGATCGGCGTGGAAGTGGCGAACGGAAACGATGAGATTTAATGACGAACACGATGGATTTTGGGTCGAAACGTTACCGTCCGATAGTTGGAAATAAACTACGCGTATTCAATTATCGGTTTAATATTGTACGCACGGTACGCGGGTACCAAGTGGGCACGACGAATAAAAGTGTTTTTAATATTCGCCAAAGTTATCCACTCGGATATATCGCGAACGGAGGTGAGAGAGAGAGAGAGTGAGAGAGAGGGGGGGATGATCCAGAGGGCTAAATAATGATTGGAGGGGGAGAAGGGGCGAGTGGATGGACGATCCGTGATGCCGGCAGTGTGTCATGCGCGCTCTCTTACCGCCACCGATGTGTTATTAAACGAAATATTATAATATATACACGGTGCGTGCGCGGGCGGACGGGATTCGTATACAGTCGTCAAACTGCACAATCCACCCTTACAAGCACACGTAGCGGCTACTGTGTGCGTGTGCACGTTCGCTGTACGCACTTGTACGTAAAAGATAATATGATATTGGCTTTCCGTCCGCGCGAGCAACACCCGCGTAGTAGAGGTGCGAACGGGCGGGCGCAGTGTGCGGCGACGACGACCGGCGGCAGAGGGTACGTATTATTATTACGGGCGAATGTTTGACGACGCCGTCGGGCACTGCAGCGCAACGGCACCGGGTACGTTTTATGAATATTCATCGTTGTCGCGGCGCATCTTTTTCAGCCGGAATTCGACTGTTGATTTATTAATCGTAGTACACCGATACAAAAGGGCAAAACGGATGTACGTACACACGAGCGAGCGGCTCTCTCCCTCGAAGCCCGCACCCCCGCACATTCGTTCGTCGAGAAACGTCTTAAGTGCGTGCGTGTGTGCGTGTGTGTGTGTGTGTGTGTGTGTGTGTGTATTATATTACGATATTATTTAATGTCGAGCGCCGTCTATAAAAGATCGTCGTTGCGGCAGCCGTCTTTTCTTTCCGATGAGGGTGTATAATGTCACAAACGAATGCGGTACGGCGAGGAGGGCGTTTTTCAATTTCGAACTGACACTTTATGCGCGCATCGATGTAAGCGTATATACATGGTTACGATATTATAAATTATACTGCAGCGGTTGGTACGCGAAACGTCGACATGCCATGATTTGCCGACTACTACGTCCAGTAGCCCTTATAACTGCCGCCGTCCTACGGTTATACCGTTAAAAGCACCTTCGTGCGTTCTAATTTTGTTTCGCTTTTCTTAAATGTGTTCGAATGGAACCGTGTGTTACAAGACGTGACAACCGTTGTTTCCGACAGTAGCTTTCGAGTATCATTGTTTGATTTTGTATTTCTCGATGGAAAACGGTGAAAAAACTTTGTGGCGTAGCATAATTTTTCAAAAATAGTTATAGTAAAAAAAAAACATATGTAACGAGATACTTATTGAAAATGAAACCGATATCATTAGGAAACTTATTTGCAACATATTTCAAAGGAAGGTCTTAGGGAAAACTAGTAGAGGTCGTCCAACAACTTCGTACTTTCAAGACATCAAGCAGCTTACGGAATGGACGTCATATTCTATTCGCGGCTGAGGGAACTTTGCGAACGACAGGGATATATGGACATCGCGACAAGGCGGCAGCCTATAGACGATGACCGAAAGTATTAAAAATGATAATTACCGTGAAAACTATAGAGAATCAACGATAGACTGAAAAAAATAAATACATGCTGTAACATATAGTATTATACGGGTTTATATAATAATAATAATAATGATATTATGTAATGACAAAAGCAAAGTAGTGACAAAATCGCTATAAAAGTTATATATATATATATAGAAGTTGCTTTATAAGTTACTATATAAGTTGCTCGGATGACGTCGAGCAGGCCACAACGATGTGCAAAATTAGAAAAACATGATGGACCCTTGTCGGACAAGAGGATGGCAGTGGATGACCCGACCCGAGTGATCGGTCGACGGGCAGAGGTGGGCTGGGTCCAAAAAGCTGCTGCTGGACCGGACGCCGGCCCGTACTTGGCACGCTCTCTTCAGCTGTTTCCCGTACTTTGGACGACGCGGAATGCGACGCCGACGGCTACGATACGGCCCGCACTGCCCAAACATGGGAGGGGGGTGTATTTAGATTTTTTTCTGGTGAGAGGGTAATTTCCTCTAAACACAATATCACAGCTCAATCGATCAAAAGCAAAAACTAGAATTTTAGTGGACGATTTTAATTTTTAATGTACGTATATAATTATAACTCTTTTTTTTTTTTACGAAATTAATGAAATAAAATACCTACATCGTAATAGAAAACTAATGAGTACATTACATAACATGAACAATTTAAAGATAATTCATAAAACAATGACGATCTGAGCTTCTAAGATTTACATTTTATGGGGTAAAAGCAGACTTCGACTCCCCTTGGCCCCATCATAAATACGCCTTTGGTCGAACAGTATACCATTTACGGTCCAGCGTCCGCTCCAGCAGCAGTGACGGAGTACCCAGTCCCATATCCGTATTCGTGCGGTTTCTATTATTATTATTATTATTATTATTATTATTTATTTATTTTTTTTTTTTGATCGTTTAGCAATTTAATTACTACTTTGTTTTTTTAATCACATAATTTATATATATTATTATAATTGAATTACGTTTGTCACTGGTTAGTGTTTCCATAGTGATTACATCTTCTGAAATTATTATGTCTGTCCAATACACTTACACGGAATCGAATTAAAAATCGATTATGAAACTTTGAACACTGTTTATTAGTGAGATTCAAATGTTATTGTGTAACGAATGTGTAATATACATATGCGTGGCAGCGTGTGAAATGAAACCTGTGTTTTTGTTTTTAAATTTCATTGCAGGATTGCATTATAAAACAGAATATTTCGATGTTAGTCTTCCTTGAAGACATTTATAATTTGTCATATTTAATGAGATTTCGAGGTCTTCCAATTATCGTAGAATGTTGTTTTGTTCAAAAATAAACGATATGCATATTAACTGTTTTCAAAACTCAAAAGCTAATTTAAATCGAATAAGCTGGATGACGTTTGTCGTGGTTGGTTTTTTTTTTTTTTTAATGAAGTTTTGGCTTATGTTCCGACAATCATTTTAAAAATAAATTTAAAGGATCAAAGATTCCCTAACGCAAATATCGGTGACACAAGAATAGCGATACCGCAATTGAACGATACGACTTTGATCGTCTTATCGACTTCAGTATTTTTAAGATATGTATTTCATGAAATAAAAATGATACCTACGTGAAGTGGCGCGTTTTCAAATTTTTTGTGAAGGGGGGTTTAAAATGTTTCTAAGAAATAAGTAGTATTTTAAAATTTTAAGAAATACATATAAAAGGTTTAAATGAACAATTATATTATTTTATTATTATTATTAATATAAATACAAATTAAGAGTTATTTACAAACACATGATATAAATTAATGTACCTTCGTAGTAAGTCTCTATGATTTTCGAATGACCTTTTCTTCTAGGGAAAGAGGGCCGTGACCCAAGATCCTTCCCTCCCCCCCAAAAAAAAAAAACTACTGCCTGCTTGAGAGGTTTTACATGTTCCTGTTGGAATATAAAAGTAAACGTAAGGGATAAAATATTTAGGTAATCAATTCTTTTTGTAAATACTTAATTTTGATAATGAAAACCGTATTATAATTAGTTTAACTATGTAAATATAATATATACTCACAGATATAATTGTATACAGTCCTATTAAATAAAAAAGGTAGTTACAATATAGTATTCGGCTAAAATTATTAATTTAAATTATTTTCCTTGTAAATAATCGTGTATTATATAATGTTACTATTATACTACCTATATTAGGTATAAAAATATGGAACCCTCGAGTATTTAACTCAAATTTTATCTATATATATATATATATATATATATATCTTAACTGAAAACAATAAAGTGATTCTTAATATTTGAATTCAAAACTAAAATTACTTTTATTTTATTAATATAATTTCCATTTGTTTATGGTTCTATTTAAATGGTACATTCATAATAGTATAATTGTAAGGTTTGATGAACATTTTTCAAATTTTATTTTGCTTACAAATATTAAAATTAATGAAGTATAAATCGTATATATAATTAATTTAAAAAATATTGGTTTTAGGTAACTCAATAGATTGGACGTCGTAATAAGTCGCCATCAGCAATCGCTGGATTATTTTCTCGTGCTTACCGGCCATGGTCCCACAAATACATCCAACCAAGACGTGATACGGTTGCTCCATTAATCCACATTGTTACTGGATCGTTGTTGTTTTCCTACACCATAAACTATGGTAAAATAATCCGTGAGGGTAACTACAAACATCACTAATAGTTACAATCGATAAGCTGCTGAGTTTTCATAATTAGTTAAAGGATGTTACACCCGCGTATGCTGTCTCCGTGTGACATACGTACAACATAGTAAATTTGCGTTCAGTGATTCAAATATAGTGATGTTAGCTTTAGTATTAGAATAAACTGGTCTGTAATCAAACTTTAAGGAATAACATTATCTGTATTTTATCAGTCAATTTTCTCTAACATTTTAATTTTAAGCGTGTTATGAGTATGTAAAATATAACAATTAAAAAAACATCTTGACTCGATAAAAAATTAAAATATCGGAAAAAACCGACCAATAAAATACAGATAATGTTCTTCCCTTAAAATTTGATTATGGGTCAGTTTATTTTAATATCAAAGTTAACTTCACTACGTTTGAACTAATGAAAGCAAACTTACTATGTTATACGTATATCAGATGAAAACAATACATGCAGGTTCTCTAAAATAAACATATTTATTATAAAAACACATGTAAGATAAAAATATCTGTATTTCAGACAAAAAAAAGATTTTTTTTTTTTTTCAATAACTAGTATAACTAGTATCTACATGTAATTAATAGGTATTAAAGAAATTATACTTTCAAAAAAATAACTTGTTTTTTGTGTACCACCGTTGAAATTTATTATTCATTATTACAAAATGTATTGAAAATAATATTATTCGTGCCTAACGAAAAAAAACTAACTTACATTTTGGTGTAAAAATAATATTTTGTCTACATTAGACCCATTTGAGAGGTCGCGTAAAAATGTTTTTATAAATAATATAATTTGAATTTTTATTCTAACTTCATTAATTCGGTCATTTATCCAGACATAAACAATATATATAGAACAATATTATATTATTTTTTTTTTTAAAAATGTTTGGAAAAGTTATCCTCCTAGAGTAGCGAACAAGAGCTGTAACACCATTGCGCCACGATCCCCTTTTACCTGATAAAATCACAACACCATTGCGCACCAAATTACATGTGTATATATTATATATAATAATTTATGTACAATATAAAATAATGTATACAATACATACTTTCTACATATAATTTTCATATACATGCACTCAAACGTATTACCTATTAATTCACAATTTTTCTTCCCAATTATTACAGGCTTAGGACTGTCGATAAATTATCATCGTTGGCTTGGTTAAAAATTGTGTTTTTTTTTTTCTATACTGATAGTCATTAGTCGATATTTTTATTATAACTATCATTAGCTCAATCAAATTTGCATTTTTTAAAAAGGGCATTTTGTGAATTACTAGTTTGAGAGCATGTATATACAAATTATAGAAAGTATGTATTGTATGCATTATTTTATGTTGTACAGAAATTATTATACATAGTAAATACACATAGATAGGAATACAGTAGATTGGAAAATCAGACATAATGTGGAGATCAAAGAGCTATATCAGAAACCAAATAGAGTCAACGATAAAAGAAAGAGGCGACTCTTTTGGGCATGACGAAAAGAAAGAGCCTTTATACACAAGGTACTAAGTGGCTCTCTAGAAGGCGTAAGACCACTTGGTAGACCAAGGCTGAGGTGGGAAGACCAAGTGTCAAAAGATGTGAAGCGGGTTGAACCGGATGGTGATTGGCGAGTCCTAGCGGAGGATAGAGAGAGATGGCATGACATATTTTTGTCAGTTTGGTCATAAAGGCCGTCAACTACGAAAAAAAAAGCAATGTTGTTGTGATTTTATCAGGTAAAAAGGGATCAGGGCGCAATCGTGTTACAAATTTTTTGCGCAATCATGGTGTAATTAGTCGGGTTGAAAAAGGAAAAAATTGCGCAATCGTGTTGCACCGCGAACAAGTTATAATATTGTATGTTCTATGTTAGGCCAGTGATGTCCAACCTTTTTACCTCAGCGGGCCACTTTGGTAAACAATTATCTTAGAGAAGGAAACCAAATATAACAGTGCGAATATTATCAATATTAATCTAATAATGTAATTTTGTTTCAAATAGTACACATATGTACATATTGAGTTTGCTTTTAAATAATTGATTGACCACTGAAAAGGTTACAGATTTTTAAATTTTAGTACGGGAAAATATGACCAAAACAAAATACTGGACATGCATTTCCAATTGTTTTATGATTCAATTTTTGTTTTGTAGTGCTAGTAGAACTATCTAAATAGTAATCATAGTAATAATTAATATTATTAGAAATGTCTTTCATATATTTTTATATTAGTATTTTGCGGAACCCATAGGCTATGTCTGCAGTTTTAAAAAAAAAAAAAAAAATGATATTTTATGGAAACACGATTCGGTTAGGCTACATACCTCGCGTGGATTCACCGTCGAATTATCGATTTGTTACTTCGCATTGCAGCTGCAGATAAATTAACTCGACGCGTTACAATACACAAATGTACACACACAAACACGCACACATGGTGCAGTGCGTTAGGTGGACATTTTATGCGTGCTTATACCCGTACCGCGGTCATTGTCCGCACGTTTTGTTCACACGGAAAAAGTGTATTTTAAAGCTACAATGTAGTGTAGATAAATGTGTACACGAACGGTTTGCGCGTACACACAAAGGACAAGGGTGCGCTGACACCTATACGTGTATCACAATAATACGGTGTACAGTATTAATAGCTTTAGCCCTTGGGTGTGCAACACTCGCCGGCTCTAACCGGACACACGAGCGGAGGCCGAACGAGACATTGTCGGGGTGCGCTTACGCGAGTTTTTATGAATTTTCGCAGCGTTTCCAAATGCTTTTTGTCCCGGCACCGCCATCACCACCGCAACGGCACGTCGATTGTTTACGACCGTTCGTTTGCGCGCGCGTACATCTCGAAATGGGTTGTAAATTTATCAATATCAGGTTTTCGCTTGACTTTTATACGTAACCCTCCGGGGTTTTTAATAAGGGCGCGACGCACGACGGCAGGACGGGGAGTCGCGAGGACGCGCTACGGAATAAAAGAGGATAAACGCCGTAAACGCGCGTGTTGTTCGGGGTTTACGACGAGGAATCCGCCGCCGCGGTCCGTCGTATAAGATGTGCTCTCATTACGGTGTTATTAGGCGGTTTTCCGATGGGCCCCGTGCGGGCATAAAAAATAGTGTACGATGCGCGCGATACCTATACGTGGGGCGGTGGTGGTGCCGGGGAAAGGAACAGAGTACAAATAATAATAATAATAATAATAATACGTTTCGGGGTGAACGACGGACGAGACAAGAGCCGAAATAGATAGTAAATCTTTTACACGATCGTAAATATCTCCGATATAAAAATCCCCGAGTAGGTAGTATAATAGAGGTATATACGATGTGTACGCCGAGGAATATAATAATATAACAATAAAATAAATAAATAAAATAATACGCACAGTTCATCGGGTCGTAAAGTGGCCCGGATTGATCATGATTTCCGAATCGTAAAAAAAAAAAAAAAAAAGAAACCGACAAAATATTTTGGGGGGTCCGGGACATAAAATAAAAAAAAAAAAAGGGGAAAAAACCGTAACCGAGTTTCATGAAATCCTCCCGCGGTCTCGGCAACCGTGCGGTACACCTTTTTATAGGTTCCGCGGTGGCGAAATAAAATGGAACTTATCTCACGTGCTGACGCGGTTTCCGATCCACAGAATAATCCGTGCGGTTCGAACGCGTTTATCCCGTCGCACCGGCTCGCAGGAAACGTTTCGATCGAGCTGCGACCGCGGTGACGTAGCAAGGGTACGGCTACGCCAGGGACGCTATATTGTGCGAAGGTCGTGTATTTATCGTAAAGTCAAATCGATATTTTTTCATTGCACTCTTTGAAATGCTGAATGCTTAGACGTTGTCAATTTGTACGCTCTGCGCGTGAATTTAATGATGAAATTATGAAAACAGCCCAAGGACGTTTGAGTAAAAAATCTCATTTCAAGTAACTATCGATAAACTTGCTAGTGATCAAGCGAGAAATGCAAATTTTCAAAGTTTAAAATCAACACTGTAACAACTTATGAGTGTAAATTGTGTACTTAAAAATATTAGTAAAATCAAAGGTTAAAAAATATATCGTGACGTCAAATTTCAATTGGTCGACAGGCGTTTTTTTTTTTCTAAGTTTGCCAGAGGCGTTAGCGAGTGTCTTCTACGCCACTGCGCGACCGTCACGAAATTTATCGCTGGTCGGCGATCCCGAAACGGTTTTGCGTTTACGCGGTGCCAACGACGGTTTCGAAACGAAATCAATTTCGGCGTCGCGGACGTTATCGATACGTCCGCGACGGAAACGGACGACCGATGCGCATTTGAAGCCGCCGCAGCGCATAGGGGTCCTTCGCGCGGTCCGTCTCGTAAAATAAATAGCGATCCCGTCGATAAGATTTCGTTTTCCGATTTTTAATACGGTTTTATGGGATTTGTAAATTGGTCGCACGCGAACGCCAGACCGATCCACACGACGACGCAACTGCCGCGCATGCGGGCGGTTTAATAACGGTCCAATAACGATACGTAACGCTGTGGATCCGATAAAACTATTAATCCCTTATTCAATAATGAGCTCGGTAATCAATTTACCGTGAGCGCTGCGATCGCAGTCCAATAAAGCAATAACGTTATAAACCGTATTGGTATATGGTTAATCGTTATCATAACGGTGGCAATGGTTGCAGCAGGAGACGTTTTTTGAAAACGGTCGTTCGGAAGTTCGTAAACCAGCGGGCTATTGAAATCGTTGCCAAGTGCACAGCTGCACGTGTTCAGCACAAAATTTGTACCGTAAGGGATGACTTTCCTCGCTCCGTCGGAGTGTAAAACCGAGACGCGTGCGTTTCACTCGAAAAATTCGAAACGCAATGATTCATTATTATTGGTTTACCGGGAAATAAATTAATTTAATAACGCTTCGCACGAGGAAAATGTTGCGTTTGAAAAAATGTCTCCACTCGAGACAAGCGTATATGGCT